CTATTCCATAAAAAAAAATTATCCTTTTACTAAGTACTACTGCTATCATTTTATCGGTGCTCAGTAACTAGTTACCGCTGGATCATACAATTTGTTTGTTCTTCATAAACAAAAATAAAATCTTGAGATTCCATATAAACCTTCGTTCTTAGTGAGGATTTATTTAACTGTCTGTTGTATGAACAAATATTGCGCAATTTTATGAAATTGTTTTATGAAAATTTTTAATTCTGTCTGTATATGCATTACTGTAAAATGTTCTCTGAGAAATCTGACTTAGTCTTAGACTTAACTTATTATAATTTTAACAATATTTAGGACATTGGAACAAAAAATCTTGTAACTATGTCGAAAATCGGAGAGAATACAGAGAAAGAAGAAATTTAATGAAATGAATGGAGAGCGAAAACAAACTGTGCCTAGAAACTTGAAACAGGGCCAGGTAAAAACAAGATAAAAGTTAAATCGAGCTTCGGCTTAAATTAGACTGAAGTTACGAGAATCAGTATCAAAGAAAATCTTTGAAGGTTTGTAGACTATACCTGGAGAAAACATGGAAAGTGTAATCATTAAATTAACATACATACATACATGCATAACTTCACGCCTGTCTCCCATGGCGGTAAGCAGAGACTATGGAACGCCAATTATACTTATACGATAATTATACTACATACCTCGTTCGCTTCATCAACAGTCATCAATCTTTTGATGCATTCTCGTCGGTTAAGAGTACTTTTAATTTGGCCCTTCTTTACTATATCGCCAATCTGGTCAGTATTGATCAGATTCAATTAACCTATAATACAAAATTCTAGGAACAAGTCTAATCTTTTAACCCGTTTTGTTATTCTATACAGGGAACAGGTCTAGACTTGAAAACTATAAGAATAAAAGAGATTTGTAACTCTACAGTAATTTATTATTCTTTTGCCGAAAAAATGATAAAGTGCTCGTCCATTTTTAATGAAGTCGGCTTTCAATACTGTATCTGTCCTGCTTGTTGTATAAAAATCAATACTTTCCGAATAAATTAACTTTGTAATGTATTTCGAATTCTTATAAAAACATATCGTAAACCCTTACTAATAATATAAACTTAAATCACAAAATTTCTTTGTGAATATCATTCATAATGGGTAATACCAGATTGTTGTATCACTAAAATATGGCAATATGGCCGTCATATAAAAAGGCTATTAAAAAGCTATGAGTTGTGTATTACAAATAGTTGAAATATTTTGTGTTATCCGAACAAAGAGTATAATGGATTCTTTCATATTTTATGCGTCTTCAGATAATAGAGAGAGCACAAAGACAAAAGAGTCGGTTTTGATTTCAAAAGAGTGCCAACAAAACTTGCAAAAGGATTTTATATAACACAGATACACACACACATACACACATACAACGGTTATCTTTAAAAGGCATTCGTAAACAAAACAAGAGAAAGATTGCATTTTTATTTCGAAGCGTATCTGAAAAACAACAACCTCAATTACCTATAGGTTAAAAATCTAATTAATACCTACGTAATTTCACCTCATTAGAGCTTGATTGAATTTGAAACTGGCAGCCTATAAAAGGTATTTTTACCTGCGTGTAAAATTACCGGCGCCGTTTTTCCAAAATTAATTTATAGGCGGTCCATGTAGGTTAAGTTCGTTTTTCATAATTTAACTGGACGTTAAAGAAAATTACTGTGACAATGATTTTATGATCACCAATCGTAATAAAGAAATTTCTAATTTTTCAGGTAGCAACTCAAGATCTGTAGGTACGTACGATTTGTGTACGAAAAAAACAAAACTACAAGAAAAAAAAATACTAACGACGTACATTCCAGCAAAACTATGAACAAACAAAAGATGCTCTTTTGAATTTAAGTCAAACATTCAAAGATTTTAGTAAAAGCGCTTCTCATATAAACGTGTATTTCCTGTGTGTAGTTATTCAGAGCGTCCCAGCACATAAGTGTCCACTTGCAATTTACATAACCCGGCCATGACAGCCCCTGAGTTTATTCCACAAAGGGCGGGAATGTTACACGTTACTTTTTACGCAGGTGTTTTGTTTACATTTACGATCCCTCCCTAAATACGCGTGGGCTCTGTAAAAATGAGGCTGAAAGCATTATCATTTATATAAGTGACGTAAATGAATGGATTTAGAGTGCTATAATAGTGTCAAACTGCTATATTTCTGCTATACACCTCGTCTTGTTTCGTTTTCGTCACACGGCAAAACAACTTGCCTAAAGGAGTACTTTCAATGGTATGCTTTTAGTTAAAAAAAATCATGAAACATAAACGACTAGACGTAAATTTGTAAGCACTATTCGCATCGCACGTATCATCCGACGAGATATACCTCTTCGATAATTACATGGCGTGATGTTTTGATAATGAACTATGAGTTCGTATGCGCTTTCGAAGTGTTCTTCTAGCAATGGTTCACCAATTGTTTTTTGTTTAATACATTTTATTTCTTTGTAAAACTATTGTATTACCAAGACAGAACTATTTTACTTCGGAACGAAAACAAAATAGATTATTGTAAATTAGGTCTGATCAAATGTACCTATTTCACTTTCATGGGAAAAGTAAGTATCTGCCTTAAGGAATAACATGTCGATTCAGTGATCATATTATTTTCTTTAAGTTCTTTAATCGTTTTTACATGAACGAGCACCAAACACCAACACAAACTTTACAATAATAGTCAAGAGATCAGAGCACAACTACACTCAATAAAACTTCATAAAAACTGACTTTATCGTTTGAAAACATCAAAGAACTACAAAGCAGTCTTTATTTTAAAACACTTGGAGAAACATGAAATATTATGAAAGTAAAAGTTGCAGTAAATTCAGTTGGCAGCGCTGTTATTTACATTGAATCCGATATCAAAGGCCTCTCAACCGACAGACCAGAGTAAATACTTTCACAACAGTTTTGCACCACGATAACGCTTAACTAGTGATTTTCTAACTTTCAACAGTTTCAACTCTCTGTATGATGAATGTTCTGTTTTCTACTTTTAACAGCGTTTTACTGTGTCCTTATTTGTAATTTATTAAGTTCACAATCATTAAAATCGTTTTTAATAAATGTACCGATTGGTGGGCTAAACTACTGCAGATTACAATATCTGTAGTAGTTGAAGCTATGCATCTAAACAAGCTTTTACCATTATTTTTCTTATGCAAAAAGGTCTCTGGTGTACCTAAGTACTTATTTTTCAGATCGATTCAACTGTCAACAAAAATCCACCTAAAGCTCAAAAGCTCAAAATAGAAATCCGAATGACCAAAATGACAAAAAAAAGACCAAATGAAAGATAGATCAAATAGGTCAGCCTAGTAAAATATATAATAAAAAAGAAGATTCCCTGGTTACTACTATCCCTCAAGCAACATTAAGTTTAACTTACAAATTCGCCGACTAAGAATAGTGGAGCTAATAATCTTCGTTCCCATTGTATCCCCCCTTTTCTTTACATCTAGACGGACTGTAAGATAGAAGGCCTTTATATTATACTAACAGAGCATTTTCATAGTGACCCACTTACTACCAAAAGTAATTTATATAAAAGCTTTAAAAAAATATAGGTTAAAATGATTGTTGTTCCAAGTTGTTCGATCGATAGCCGAATTGATAAAGAACGTCTCCTTTTTAGGTTTAGGTACAGACTTTTATCAAGGCTATCAAATAAGAACATTAAACCTGTTTATACCGCAAGGTTTGGCAGAGTTTACGTCTTTGTACCCAGTCATGGCAATTCATCCGTGATCTTGATATAAAAATCTACCTAAATCGATGTAGAAAACGGACTTAAAACTCAGCAGTCTTGAAACTATGAAATCAGCAACTAAATCTTTGATTGCAGACGTATATATTACGTAGGTTCAAGTCCAAACACAGGGTCCAAACTTTCATCAAGGCCATCTAATGAATAGAGTTAGAAAAAAAAAAGATTTTTCCGAAAGATAAATCTGTAATGTTGGCAAGCTAAGAGACTTGCTATAAAGTAAAGGCAATGTGGAAAATGTTGAACCCCAATGCCGATCAAGAATATAGGCCAAGGGCGCTCGGTTTTGGAGGGGAACCGCGGAGGCCGAGGCAGAACGCGTGACCGAACAAACGCCAAAGACATTATCCAGTTCTTACATGGAGAACGAAGAATGCTTATCACACAATTACTGAACGCAATGCGTGTAATGACTATTGATTATTTACTTCTCATGTTTGTCGGACAATTTTCAGTAGGTTTATGGTATGGTAGACAATATGTATAATATCTGACCCCTGTTTATAAGATGGGTCTGATAATCATAGTAATATGTAATACAACCAAAAAATATATATAAAACGCGCTATACAACACAACCTACTAACAAGAAAACAAACAATATTTTATACGACTCATTCCTCAATCTCTCAAACGATAGTCTTCCGCAGCGAGTCACATTTGATGTTTATTACACCACAATAAGCAAATAACATCATATATCACGAAAAAACATGTTTGTTGCACTCCTAATATGTTGTATATGAAAAACGCCCTGACAGAAAAGCCATAAAATCGGGCTCTTGGGCTTCCTCGAGCGAGTTGGGTACTCCTCCATAACCCGAGCTCTCATTTACATACGTGAGGTCGCAATGACGGCACCTCTCAACGAAATTGCTTTCAGCTTTAACCACGAATAAAAGTCAGGAAGATAATGTATTCATTCCCTCAATAACCGAGGTTTTAATTGGAAACAAGGATTGGAGGACGCGAGTCTAATAACATAGAACGTTAGCGACAAAAATTCTTCGAACTTTTTTTGTCCGCTCTGCAGAAACTGCTTTCCAAGTAATAATTATGTCTACGTAAGCGTTCTAGATGTCTACTGACGTCATAGTCACTTTATAACAATTCTTACATTAATAAATGTCGGTAGAATTTATTATAAGTGTATTTAAAAAGCATGAAATTGTAATTATATCCGTACTCACAGAAACAAAAGAATAGAGCACCAATTCCAATTTACGAGTAGACAAAAACAATTGAATCTAATTTCAGTTTACTTATTCAAAAGGACTACCAACCACGAGCAACCTACTGACAACACAACACATCTAATGAAACTATGATTTGCAAATGAAAGCGAAAACTTTGTTAGTTAAGTACCTACTAGCAGGATATGCACATCCTGTGTCCTGCAGTATATCAAAGTGAATGGCCGTTTGATGTTACAGGGAAAACCCATCTATATTGAGACGATATGAGAAGCATTTTATCAATTAACCATAGGTATATTGAATACTGGGTATAATAGTCAAAAGGTCAACGCTATTGAATAAATACAAATATGTAAGGTTTTATCTATGTACCATACTATTTTCATATCACCTGAGATATGTACTTGTGTAGCCGATTACGAGAAAATTCCCTCGGTTCGGCATGAAATATGCTATTCTAATATTGTCCTTATTTCTTTTACTTTAACATTGCAATGCCATCTGTGTAAAAAATGTAATAAGTTTTAACATATCATAAGTGAAAGAGAGAAGCTCTACTAGTTTCGAACCACAAAGAGGTACGTACAGAACGCTACGCGACATCGCCGCGACCGCGCACGCTGCTCATGAGAGAGAACACCTCTGTGGTTCAAAACTAGTAGAGCTTTTCTCAGTATATTTACGTGATGAAACCGCTATTTTTATTTAATTTAGAATGTCTCACGATAGTTACTGTAAAAACAGATCATAAGTGCCTTTTCATAGGTGCCGGTTTCGGATAACATGGTACTGAGTACTTGGCGGCGAATGATATAGCCATATATGTTATCTTTCACATACACAGGATCGTGTGAAAAGGTTCTGATAATTAATTAAAAATAATGCGACAACAATTTGATTTTATAAAAACTCAAATAATCGATAGAAAATCCGAAGCTAATTCGCTATTCTATATTGAGACGTAAATCCTTCGATTTAAGATCGTATTTTCCGTACAGTTAACTAACTGTATAGCAATTTCCCTCTTCAGTAGCCATTAGATTTCCCATCAAATTCATGTCAGTATTGTATATAAGTGTCTATCTACATTTATGTACTTCTTGAATGACAGCGTCCTTTCTAAGTATGTAGGGAGGAAGAATGTTCAATTTTTATAGGAATGTGTGGGATGGAATATGATTTTAATAACGTCCACCATACCCACTATTTACTCAAAGTCATATAAGTTGGTTTCACCAGAAATAAAGTTAAATAATTTAGAACCTGTGACGTGCGACAGTAGGCGTACTATTAGAGTGACATTAACCCACGTCACCTAAAAGCTACAAAAGAAAATTCATAGTTTTTTTAATAGATGAAGCAATAATTGTCCTAAATCTTACAGACCTGCTTTATGCATTTGCATGTACAAGAATATTTTATTAAATTATATCTAAAGTCTACCTGTCTACTATGATATACCTACATATGTAGGTACATATGCATACCGTCCCAAAAATTTCCACACGAGATTTGTATATACTCATCATCACGCCTTGTATCCCTGAAGGGGTAGGCAGATTTTTTTAAACCCAGTAATACTTTGCCCGATCCGAACCTAAGACACTTGCCCGGCAGTCGCACTTGCGACCACTCGGCCAACGAAACAGTTATAGCTTAAGTATCCACAAAGATAGGGATATCAACTTTAAATATAAATACTTCATTATTCCATCGTCAATGGCTTCCTTCAATAAAAAACTCATCCAAGTCATGTGTACTTTGGAAACTTTCTGATTGATAAGTAAAGAAAATCTTTTATTAAGTCTCTATTATGGGTTTGTTAGCATTATTCTATGTTTAACTTAAACTTGCTTCAATAAGTTCTTAGTTTTTAGTATATGAATAGCTCAAGAATAAAAATAACCAAAAGTTTAAACAGACTATTATTTTCATTTTAATTATCATGAAGATAATTAAAATAAAAACAATAGTTTATTTTAGTACTTATTTATATGATATACCTATGTATAAAAATAAGGAAATAGCTAAACATGTACAACTTAAAATAAAGTACAACTAATGGAGACATTTAAATAAAGAAAAACTAAAAATAACTATTATATATACAGAGATCATCAATATATTCGTCCACATCGACGTCAATAGGGAAAGTACCCTAAACTTGGTAAAGCAATTTCATAACAATAAATGGTAACATGTATTGGATCACGCATATCTATGTATTTTTTTATAAGCATGTTACTCTTCTTATTACTTCTAATTTTTCCGATACGTAACTATCGTTCAATACATCAACAGCCTACAAGTGCCCATTGATGAGCAAAACCTTTTCACACGGAGAAGATTCGAGCATTCATCACCACGCTTCCTCATTGTGGGTTGGCGATTTTAAACTTATAATTAGAAATTATAAGTCCAGGTTTCCTCACGACGTTTTCCTTCGCTCGTTTGTCAGTGGCGTCAAATCTTAGAAAGTACATATAACTCGGAAAAAGTCACTGTGGTACTACTCTCGTTCAATACATAGTTATAATCTATACTTATAATAAATCTGTAGAGAGGTCAATTCTGTACATAAAATATATTTAAAAAATAACTATCAAGGGGTGGTTAGGGATCGCTACTGATGCCAAAAATGCAATCAGTAAAATTTTTGTCTGTCTGTCTGTCTGTCTGTATGTTCGTTATGGAAACAAAAACTACTCGACGGATTTTAACGAAATTTGGCACAATTTTTCTTCATATTCTTGGGCAGGTTATAGTATACTTTTCATTACGCTACGATCAATAGGAGCAGAGCAGTGAAGGGAAATATTGGGAAACCGGGAGAAGTTACTCCATTACACCGGAATGAAATTCGGAATAGAGGTAGAGTATGGTCTGAAGTAATAAATACATTGGCATTTTCCTCCTGGGATTGCGGGCGAAGCCGCTGGCAGAAGCTAGTTCCAAAATAAATTACACAAAATACTTTCTGTAATTGCGATTGAATTGCCGCGACGTATTCCATTGCTGTTTTATAATAACACAGCGAGTCCAATCGTTGGTCGCGTGCAGCAATGTATATGAAACTCCTGCCTTACCACAAACAAGTGCAAGTAGAACGACACCCACGTATTATATTGCTTTAAATTGAAATTAGGTCATGTGACAATATTGTTAATGTACCCAAGTTTGGGTGGTTTTCGACATACTTCTAAGGACAAGTCATTAAGGCTTTTATGATTTGAATTTGTGTAAAATTCAAAACGACATATTCAAATATTAACTATAATCAGGTAAAAATATAGTGCATTATCTACTGACAGATGACTAAAAGAAGAGAAGACGTCGAGCAGTGAGTATTCGATAAAGACTTACTGCTTAACTATCGACTAAAAATCAACACAATATATTATGTATTACAACTTTCGCGAGACATGCTACATAAATTATTATGTTTTCGTTACTAGTTTCAAGCTATGGTAGAGGCTCATGTTCGAGTCGGGTTCCTCGTCAAATTATTACGTGAGTAAGCCGAAAACGTAATAATTATTACAATACATTTTCCTAACGTAAGAGTAAAATCGTGATAAACATAAAAGCCCTCAATTTTATAATGAAATGTTGTATAAAAAAAATTGTAACATTTCAACAACCGCGTATATCATCAACAGCCTATAAGTACTGCTAAGTAAAGCTTCTTTTCACACGAATAAGGTTTGAACATTAATCACCACGCTTGCTAATTACGGATAGGCAATTTCAAACTTATAATTAGAAATTATAAGTCCAGGTTTCTTCACTATGTTTTCCTTCACCGTTTGTCAGTGGTATCTAAATAATCTTAAAGTACATATAACTCGGAAAAATTCACATTGGTACTTGCCGTTGGTAGGTCGTATAATAAAAGAACAAAATAACTCCCCACAAAATTTCTTGAAACGGAACATTAAATCTGTTTGCACAGCGGGTCGAGCAAGGCCACTCCATGTTTTTCTAAGCCCCCAATTAATCACGGTACTCAATATTCATACTTTTCAACCCTTCCCTCATCGAAGTACATCAAGATGAAATGTTATTCAATATCTCATCGAAAACCACCATCGTTCCTAATAAATAACATCACGGTTTATTACTCCCTGAAGAGGATAAAGATATTCCTGATTTTAGTTATATTATTAGCCCCTTGAAACCTATTTAATGGAATGGGGGTATGGTAATTGATTTAGAGCGACCGTATTGTCATCCAGTTTGACACTATGCCAAGCCTCTCGCTACTATCTCCAATAAAATGACTGAAACATCTATCTACAGTTTTCCTAGCTCAGCAGTCAAGTTTTTATGACACTACAATTATCAATACCAGAAACCATCGGATTTTTCCAGGACACGGAGGATACGGAGGATACGGAGGATAGGATAGGACAGGATACGGAGCCGCGGAAGACTTATAACGGGTTACCGGGGCTCCGGCTCGAAGTACAGGAGTAGGAACGGGGTGGTTTTTAGTCAGTAAGAGTCTGACACTCCCTCTCGCCTCACCCAGACGGGAGAAGTCATTGGATGATCCCCCCCCTCAAAAAAAAACCTCCTAACAGGAAGCAAAAGTAATATATAGTTACCAAGGGAATTGAATAATAAAATAAACTTTGTTAGAGAAATGGAGTGGTAAACTTAGCTAGGTCAACAAATGGATGGGTGACGTTTAACATACGAGCCTTTTAAGTGATGTGCCTACGTCAGCGAGAACTAACACGGGTATATTCTCTCCGCTAATATCAATAAGTAACAGGTTAACAATACCTTCCAGCTATGTTGCGAAATAAGGTATTAATCTGGGCGTGCGTAAATTTTTTTACACCGTACATATTATGGTGAGTTAAGAAAGGATAATTAATTCATATAACTAAATATTTATACAAAATTACGTTGGTGTAGTATATACCTACCTATTTATTTTCGAACTGGAAAAATAAGTTTCGAGAAAAGTATATTGTTTAAAACTTAATTAAGCACTTTAGAAATGTCAAAATTAAATTATCCGTCTTTCTATAGGTATGTCAGTAAAGTAGACACGAGGCAGTGAGTAGGTAGACGTGAGCTTGGTATGATATGAAATACCTATGATTTACCCCTTACATAAATCCCTAAAGGAATTCTAATTCTTGAGAAAGCATGAAGATAT